GACCCGGAAATAATGAATTCTATTTTAATTACTGGTTGTAATCGTGGTCTTGGTCTAGGAATAGTTAAAGCTTTGGTTAAGCTGCCCAAGCCACCACAGCACTTATTTGCCACCTGCCGCAACAAGGATCAAGCCAAGGTAATGTTTTTAAATTTAAATAGAAAAATTACAAAAACTGTCTGGTATTACTTATGGGTGCCATTTTAGTTTTTGTTGTTCTTTTTCCTGTTGTTGTTGTAGTAAATGCAATTCTTCTTGTTGGTTATTTAAAACTTTTGCCAAATTATAATAATTATCCAAACACTTAATAGTTAACAATTATTTTCACACACTTTTTTTATTTTATTTGAAAGTAATTTTCACAATTTCTATTTATTTATTTATAATTTCTATAACACTTTGTATTTTTAAAACACTTTTTCAATTAAATTCTTGTACTTCGTTCTTTCCTCGAGAAACTTAGAAATGAAATAAGCGGCGTAGGTTTTTGCGTTTACTTTTAGCTTTTTTGTCACTTTGGAATTCCCTTTATCTTCTTTTTGTTCTCTTGAAAACAACTTTCCAATTACGCTCTCATTTTTCTATTTGTTTCCATTTGCAAAATGTCAATACATTCCAATTGGAAGTTTCATACAGGGTTGTATTTGCGAAAGGCAAAGATTTTGGCGATTTTTGTAGATAAATAGGAATGTACAAAAACTAGCAAAAGTTTAATGAAAATTTGCAAAACGAAACCCTATCCGAAGATAACTTTTCACAACGAAAATTTTTTAAAGAATACTTTTCTAACGAAAACTTTTCTAAGGAAAGCTTTTCGAAAGAACACTCTTTAAACTAAAGCTTTTCTAAAGTAAAGTTTTAATAACGAAAGCTTTTATAAAGAAAATTTCTCACAATGAAAGCTTTTCTTAAGAATACTTTCATAACGAAAGACTTTGTAAAAAACTTTTCTAAAGAAAACTTTCAATAACGAAACTTTTCATAACAAAAACTTTCCTAAAAAAACTCTTCATAACGAAAACTTTTCTGAAGAAAACTCTTCATAACGAAAACTTTCTGAAAGAAAACTCTTCATAACAAAAACTTTTCCAAAGAAAACTCTTCATAACTAAAACTTTTATAAAGAAAACTCTTTATAACGAAAACTTTTCTAAAGAAAACTCTTCATAACAAAAACTTTTCTAAAGGAAACTCTTCATAATGAAAGCTTTCTAATGAAAACTTTCATAACAGAAACTTTCTAAAGACAACTTTTCATAACAAAAACTTTTCTATAGAAATATTTCATAACTTTCTATGAAAGTCTTTATAAGGAAATCTCTTCGATAGAAAACTTCATAACGAAAGCTATTCTATAGAAAACCTTTCATAATGAAAGCTTTTCTAAGAAAACCTTTCATAAGAAAGCTTTTCTATAGAAACCTTTCATAATGAGAGTTTCTATAGAAAACCTTCTATAACGAAAGCTTTTCTATAGAAACCTTCTAAAGAAAGCTTTTCTATAGAAAACCTTCTATAACGTAAGCTTTTCTATAGAAACCTTCTATAAGAAAGTTTTCTATAGAACCTTCTATAAAAGTTTTTCTAATGAAAGTTTTCTTTAGAATATAAAAAGTTGTCTATAGAAAAGTTTATTTTAGAAAAGCTTCGATATGAATAGTTTTCTATAAAAAAGCTTAGGTTTTGTAAAGAAAATTTTCATAACGAAAACTTTTCTATACAAACCTTTTATATCGAAAGATTTTCTATAGAAAACATTTTTTATAGAAAGCATTTCTATAGAAACCTTTTTTATGGAAAACTTTTTATAGAAAATCTTTTTATACAAAAGCTTTTCTATAGAAAACTTTCGATAAAAAAGATTTCGTTATAAAAGGTTTTCGTTATTAAAACGAGTTTCTATAGAAAGTTTCGCTATAAAAGGTTTTTCTATAGAAAAGCTTTCGTATAAAAGGTTTTCTATAGAAAAGCTTACTCTTATAAAGGTCTTTCTATAGAAAAGCTTACTTTATAAAGGTTTTCTATAGAAAGCTTACTTTATTTTCTATAGAAAAGCTTACTTTATAAAGGTTTTCTATAGAAAAGCTTACTTTATAAAAGGTTTTCTATAGAAAAGCTTACTTTATAAAAGGTTTTCTATAGAAAAGCTTTCGTTATAGAAGGTTTCCTATAGAAAAGCTTTCTTTATAGAAGGTTTCCTATAGAAAAGCTTACGTTATAGAAGGTTTTCTATAGAAAAGCTTTCGTTATAGAAGGTTTTCTATAGAAAAGCTTTCGTTATAGAAGGTTTTCTATAGAAAAGCTCTCATTATGAAGGTTTTCTATAGAAAAGCTTTCATTATGAAAGGTTTTCTATAGAAAAGCTTTCATTATGAAAGGTTTTCTATAGAATAGCTTTCGTTATGGAAGGTTTTCTATCGAAGAGATTTCCTTATAAAAGACTTTCTATAGAAAAGTTATGAAAATATTTCTATAGAAAAGTTTTTGTTATGAAAAGTTGTCTTTAGAAAAGTTTCTGTTATGAAAAGTTTTCATTAGAAAAGCTTTCATTATGAAGAGTTTCCTTTAGAAAAGTTTTTGTTATGAAGAGTTTTCTTTAGAAAAGTTTTCGTTATAAAGAGTTTTCTTTATAAAAGTTTTAGTTATGAAGAGTTTTCTTTGGAAAAGTTTTTGTTATGAAGAGTTTTCTTCAGAAAAGTTTTCGTTATGAAGAGTTTTCTTCAGAAAAGTTTTCGTTATGAAGAGTTTTTTTTAGGAAAGTTTTTGTTATGAAAAGTTTTCGTTATTGAAAGTTTTCTTTAGAAAAGTTTTTTACAAAGTCTTTCGTTATGAAAAGTATTCTTAAGAAAAGCTTTCATTGTGAGAAATTTTCTTTATAAAAGCTTTCGTTATTAAAACTTTACTTTAGAAAAGCTTTAGTTATGAAGAGTGTTCTTTCGAAAAGCTTTCCTTAGAAAAGTTTTCGTTAGAAAAGTATTCTTTAAAAAAATTTTCGTTGTGAAAAGTTATCTTCGGATAGGGTTTCGTTTTGCAAAATTTTCATTAAACTTTTGCTAGTTTTTGTACATTCCTATTTATCTACAAAAAATCGCCAAAATCTTTGCCTTTCGCAAATACAACCCTGTATGAAACTTCCAATTGGAATGTATTGACATTTTGCAAATGGAAACAAATAGAAAAATGAGAGCGTAATTGGAAAGTTGTTTTCAAGAGAACAAAAAGAAGATAAAAGGGAATTCCAAAAGTGACAAAAAAGCTAAAAGTAAACGCAAAAACCTACGCCGCTTATTTCATTTCTAAGTTTTCTCGAGGAAAGAACGAAGTACAAGAATTTAATTGAAAAAGTGTTTTAAAAATACAAAGTGTTATAGAAATTATAAGAAATAAATAGAAAATTGTGAAAATTACTTTCAAATAAAATAAAAAAAGTGTGTGAAAATAATTGTTAAACTATTAAGTGTTTGGATAATTATTATAAATTTGGCAAAAGTTTTAAATAACCAACAAGAAGAATTGCATTTACTACAACAACAACAGGAAAAAGAACAACAAAAACTAAAAATGGCACCCATAAGTAAGTACCAGACAGTTTTTGTAATTTTTCTATTTAAATTTAAAAACATTACCTTGGCTTGATCCTTGTTGCGGCAGGTGGCAAATAAGTGCTGTGGTGGCTTGGGCAGCTTAACCAAAGCTTTAACTATTCCTAGACCAAGACCACGATTACAACCAGTAATTAAAATAGAATTCATTATTTCCGGGTCGTTTTGTTACCAAAGTTCAATTGAATAGAATTGTAGTTTCGCGTATTAAAGTTGTTTTTGTTGCTTTGAAACACGTTGAAAACGATGAATGGAAACAATAGGTTGTTGGTAGGCTTTTTTTTCTTTAGAGGGTTACGCTTGGAGTAAAACTATTACGTGTCTAGCTTTTGATAAACTTATCTAAGAAATAAAAGAAATTGAAAGAATAGTAAAGATTATAATAAAGAAATTAAATGTGTTTTGTTAATTCATAAAGATAAGCAAAATAAATTTTGTAAATCTATTGTTAAAAAAAACTACAAGAAATCTTACAATTTTGATAGAAAAGAAAATAAATTAATGCAAAAACAAATATGTCGGTATTTCTTCCATTTGCAGAGTGGCCAAGTTAGCGTTTTTTTAATATTTCAAAATTCATTTTGTCAGCGTTTTTTAATTACAGTATTCGAAATCAGAATTTTCATTAACTTTTGAAGCTTTAGCAAACATATTGGGCTCCATAGTATAAGTTTCTAAAGTATTAATTGAATCCTCCATTTTAGTCTGTTTGATTCTGCAGTGTCGAAGAAAACATTGCGGCCATTGTTCTGGGTGGCTTTTTCGATTTCTTTGCTCAAATTATCCGTATATTTTGAAAACGCGCTAGATTGTTACTTTTTATCTTAAGTTCATATTCGCTAATTTTAAGGGAACGTTTATATTGACAAAACTTTTAGCTGACAAGTTCGCAATATTGTGATACATTTTCGAATGCTTGAAGAAGAATCTACTTATTCTTCTGTAATCCTCAAACTTTATTGTCATTCCTGTCTATTAGGTTTTAAAATTTAGTATACAAAAGCCTCAACGGTCCGGCTTTATTATACTAAACGAAAGAGTTCTTACTGAGTTTCGAAGAATTGTCTTGATTAACTTAAAGTGTGTTCTAAATACAAGTTTCTTTTAAAATATTAGTAAACAAAACTTCTGGAGCTGTTGAGATCTATAGCAAGTTGTTGAATTATGTTGCATACCTTTGGCCACATTCTCGAAGATATTCAGGGTACGACATTGATGTTCATATACCATATCCAGTAATATGAACTTTTTGCACAAAATTGAAGCTTATATTTTATATATAGGAGCTTCATTTCTTATTTTTTTCAAAGAATATAATCGATTAACATTTCTTTCAAATATGTAGATGGTTCTTTTATTAATAACTATAAAACTTCCAGAGTTGTTGAAATCCATAGCGAGTAAATTGTTTTGGATAAGTTGCATACTTAAGGCCAGAGAAGCCACTTGCTTTACAGGCATATACCCTAATCGGTGCAGAAAACGAAATTTCATCATTTGTACGGAAAAAAGTAAGTTGTTTTCGGCGCAAATGTATGAAATTTCATGCCGATTACGGTGTATGTGGAAATGAGCGCTACGACGTTGAAGCCCATTTGCCTTATCCAATAAAAATACATTAACATGAAGTTTTTCTCAAAATTGGGCACTGATCTCGCGGTGCTTCATATCTTTCAAACTTTAAAAAAAATTTAATGGATTGAATGATAAGAAGGCCACTAGGCAAAAAATCAAACGACCTTCTATGCTAAATTGTCCCCAAATTCGACTTTTTATAAAATTTATTTAAATTTATTACTCAAAAAGAGATTTAGTCTGAAAATTTGGAATGAATTTGCTGCTTTATGAGGATAATTTCTTAAAAGACTCGAAAATTTATAGAAAATTACGAAATTTTCAAAACATTTTGTGATGTTTAATATGTACTTTAATACTTATTCTAAGGAGTATCAAATAAATACTAATTTACTCCTCTTTTTAATATCAAACTTCAAATTCTATTATTTCAATCAAAAAAAATATCGAAGGGTTTTCTTCACGTCCAAATTTTAAGTGAACAGTGATTTAAATGTTGAATTTGTCTTCCTAATGAATTCTTAGCGTTTTTCTTCACAGTACCCTTTGGCTACAAATAGTTGGCATCACAGTTGTTAACAATTGTTGCTTTTTTGCATATTTTATTTTGTACTCTTTTTTTTTGCTAGAAACGTTATGTTAATATTTCTCTCTTTCTCTTTTATATTAACTTAACATTCCAATGCATTGTTGTTTCGTGCTCTTTTTTTTTTATTATTTCATCCCCCCGTTCCAAGCCGACTTCCATTGCAGAGTATAAATGTCAAAACGTTTTGTCAGTTTATAAAGTACGAAAAAAGGAGATTATTTTGCATTAAACGCGTTAAAAGTGAAATTATTTAAAATTTAATAACTTTTCCCGATAATTAAACACAAATAAATAGTAATTAAGTATGTTTACGATATGGAATTCTCGTGCCTGCATAACATTTATACGTTCCTCTAAATGTTCAATTGTTTCAACATCTTCACGTAGCAGATCCTGTACAAATTTCACAAACAAACGTTTTATGAGCCAACAAAGGGGAGCCGCCACACAAAATCGTAAGTTTTTATTTGGATACGTTTGTTTTTGGAATTGGCAATTATTTTAGACAGTTTGCAATATTATATAAGAACCTGCTGAAAATTTCACCAAAATTGTTTACAATTTTACACATAAATTAAATCTATTTTATACAACATGCCGCGAATTTTGTCAAGTCATTGTTACTTTTAGAATTTGTTTTTCGTGATTTCACCATTTTTGCTTATCTTATGTTTTACAATAGAATTTTTTTTATGTAGTATTTATTTACTTTCAAACTAACCTGACTGCCGTTGGTTGGGTTGTGCCTGTCAACTTGTTTCAAACAACACGTACAATTTTAATTTGATTTTTTGCAATTTTATATGAAAAAATAATTGTCTTGTTTTCTTTCTTATCTATGATTATTATTTCTGCTGTTTTATGAAATTCTTATTGGAAGTTTAATAACATTCCAGTTTCAAAGTTTTTATTCTCAGCTGTTTGTGTTGTTGAACTATTTAATGTGGAAACAGAGGGTTGCCAGAGAAACTACTTGTTGCTTTTGCCTAATTTAAAGAGGAAAATCTCATGAAAATTTCTACATTTTAATGATTTTTTAAATTATAGAATTGTATGACAAATCTAAAAATAATCCCAAAAAGTAGTTTTTTTCATGCATGAAAGCCCCCTATAGGCCAAATAAAGGTAACATTTATAATTGTGTTCTTTTATCTGCTTGGACTAAGGTATTCCTATGGCATCGCTGTAAGATAGTTGGAAACTAATTAGTTGGTATTTCTAGATTGATTGATCTCTTTGTCTGACAATCAACCCAAAGCTTTCAAACTTTGGCGGTAAAATGTTTTTTTGTTCACAATGAAAACAAATAATACTATTGGAATGATTGATTGTTTTGGACATTTCAAGTCATTAGGCTTAGTGTGGAAGGTGAGGTCAATTGAGGCTCTATCCCGATTATTATTTAATTCAGCATGAACAGCAAGTCGGACAGGCGGATGTGGAGAAAAATTAGATAGCTAGCTAGTTAGTTAGTTAGTTAGTTAGTTAGTAGTTAGTTAGTTAGTTAGTTAGTTAGTTAGTTAGTTAGTTAGTTAGTTAGTTAGTTAGTAGTTAGTTAGTTAGTTAGTTAGTTAGTTAGTAGTTAGTTAGTTAGTTAGTTAGTTAGTTAGTAGTTAGTTAGTTAGTTAGTTAGTTAGTTAGTTAGTAGTTAGTTAGTAGTTAGTAGTTAGTTAGTAGTTAGTTAGTTAGTTAGTTAGTTAGTTAGTAGTTAGTTAGTTAGTTAGTTAGTTAGTTAGTTAGTTAGTTAGTTAGTTAGTTAGTTAGTTAGTTAGTTAGTTAGTTAGTTAGTTAGTTAGTTAGTTAGTTAGTTAGTTAGTTAGTTAGTTAGTTAGTTAGTTAGTTAGTTAGTTAGTTAGTTAGTTAGTTAGTTAGTTAGTAGTTAGTTAGTTAGTTAGTTAGTTAGTTAGTTAGTTAGTTAGTTAGTTAGTTAGTTAGTTAGTTAGTTAGTTAGTTAGTAGTTAGTTAGTTAGTTAGTTAGTTAGTTAGTTAGTTAGTTAGTTAGTTAGTTAGTTAGTTAGTTAGTTAGTTAGTTAGTTAGTTAGTTAGTTAGTTAGTTAGTTAGTTAGTTAGTTAGTAGTTAGTTAGTTAGTTAGTTAGTTATTAGTTAGTTAGTTAGTTAGTTAGTTAGTTAGTTAGTTAGTTAGTTAGTTAGTTAGTTAGTTAGTTAGTTAGTTAGTTAGTTAGTTAGTTAGTTAGTTAGTTCATTAGTTAGAACCTTACAAAAAAAAACATGCCTCACACAATCCGTAATAGGTGATAGGCGTTGGTAAATTTTGGAATGAAGGAAACCAAATTATCTTGTTTTAGACCCATATTTTCGGCTTTACCAGATTCCCCAGATCTATCTAGCTAACCAAAACATTCTGTAGGCTCTGTGGTAACAATACTTCCTAAATGTATTCTAACTGGGAAGTCGGTCTATAATTTCTGTTTGCTTTCTTTGATTGATTGATTCAACTACGTTCAAAGGTTCTACTACACATAGATTTTGATCAAAACAATCTACTTTCCCTCCACTTTTTGCATAATAAATTCTGGAGCACTTTGCCTTAAGTTCTCATTTTCCTTGAAGCTGCAACTTCGATATGTTGAAGATCCACTTGGACCTGCCTTTTCATAACTTGCATAACAATTCACAAGCATGTCTTATTACTTAAGAGTTTAGCTAACAAATCTATCGTTGTTAGAATATTTTTAGAATTATTTCCCATACAATTTGTACATTTTCTCATTGAACCTGCTATTTAGCCAGCTGTATGTAATAAATAATTACTAAAAATAATTTTATTTTTAAAATGAATAAATAATATAACGCTAATGAGAGGACTCTCGCAATATTACTTTTTTAATTTATAATTTATGTTTGTTTAACTATTGTTAAAACCCGTTGCTATGGACGCACTGCAATGTCAAAACTTTCAATACAAAGTCAATTACAATTGAATATTTCGGTAAATGACAGACATAAACGAAACATTATAAACTAAACAGCGGTGTTAATAAGAGAAAAATAAAATTTAAAAAAATCTTACAACAGAAAGTGTATTGTGCTCCAATCAAAATTAAAAAGAAAAAAACTTATCTCCTCAATTGCATAAACAATCTCTGATAATGTAAATAAAGTAAATACAAGTAAAAGGCGTTAAAAACTAAAACAACTTGAATCGATTTTTCTACTACAATTGTTTTTTTTTTTCTATTAAGAGGTGGGTGTTTTTATAAAATATCAAGATTAACACTAATGTTTATATATTTGATTTATATATATTTGATTTTCTTACAAATTGTGTTAGAAACTTACTTCATTAAGCAGTTGAAAAGTCATATCCAAGGATAATAACTTCATAAATCGAAATAGTTTCCTTTTAACGTTCTAACAAGTAAGAGTTATTTGTATTTTTTCTTTTACTACTTGCAATTCCTATGAATTATTTTGTATTTTTACCTGCATCTGAAGCTAAAAATTCAAAAGATAAACGTCGTTCCGTTTATCAATCTGATTATCTTGACATACGTTTAAAACGTACCATGAGTGATGAAGAGTCAGAAATTAATAATGAAATCGAAAATGAGGAACAAGTTGAGTCGGAAGAACAAGAGAATGATATTAATAATGATGATGGTACGTTGTTGATGTTGTGTTATTAAAATAGTTTTTTATAATTGCATTCTGTATAATTTACTTCTTTCTATTCACCTGTGTTTTCTACTCTTAAAGGTTGCAAATGCATTTGTTTTCTGTTGACTTTTATTTTTGCAATTAATTGTTTGTGTTTTGTAATTGTCTAGTATTTCTATTTTAGTTTGTTTATATTAAATTTTTCATAATAGTGCCGTGTCATTTTAAAAAATATTATCTGGAAATTTCTTAAATTGTTAGTTAAACAATCATGCTGATTTGTTTGATTTCTTTTCTTCATTTCCGACGAAATTTTTAATTATTTGAACATGACGTCACTAATGATTCATTGAGTTTGTAGAGGTCAGTCAAAATTAGTTCGGAAATAAGTTTTAATTTTTTAATTATCATTCCGGTAGTTGTTTCAATTGTTTTTGTATTACATTGGTTTCTTAGTTATGTTTTCTTAATATTGGAATTTTTAAGATTCTTTATAAAATTCTGTTAAAATATTGGAAATTATGAGATTTTTTTCTGTTCGATTTACATATGTATTTTTATTATCTTTTTTAGATTTTACGGATTAGATTAGATAAGTTTATATAGGATTTGATAAGATTATATAGTTGATAAAATACCTTTCACAACTTTTTATTACTTATTATCTTGTTGTTATTAGTATTATAACAACTTGACAACAATAAAAATAAATGAATTTTCAGAAATTACATAGGTTGAGGAAAACAGAAAACTTTATAAAAATCTTTGCTTCATATACAAGAAAAGCCCGGATATATAGTCTTACGTCTAGTCTATAGTCTAGTCTATAGTCTAGTCTATAGTCTAGTCTTAGTCTAGTCTATAGCTAGTCTAATAGTCCTAGTCTATAAGTCTAGTCTATAGTCTAGTCCTATAGTCTAGTCTATAGTCCTAAGTCTATAGTCTAGTCTATAGTCTAGTCTATAGTCTAGGTCTATAGTCTATGTCTAGTCTTATAGTCTAGTTCTATAGTAGTCTAGTCTAATAGTCCTAAGTCTCATAGTCCTAGTCTATAGTCTAGTCCTGACTAGTCTAGGTCGATAGTCTAGTCTATAGTCTAGTCCTATAGTCTAGTCTATAGTCTAGTCTATAGTCTTAGTCCCTAGTCTATAGTCCTAGTCTCTATGTCTAGTCTATAGTCTAGTCTATAGTCTTTAGTCTATTAGTCTAACGTCTATAGTCTAGTCTAGAGTCTAGTCTATGTCTCGTCTATTAGTCTAGTCTATAGTCTAGTCTCTAGTCTAAGTCTATAGTCTCGCTCTATAGTCTAGTCTATAAGTCTAGTCTATAGTTTAGTCTATAGTCTAGATATCGTCTAGGTCTATAGTCTTAGTCTATCGTCTAGTCTACTAGTTGTTCTAGTATCAGTCGATAGTCTTAGTCTAAGTCTGTCTCTAGTCTAGTCTATAGTCTAGTCTATAGTCTAGTCTTATAGTCAGTCTAGTCTATAGTCTTAGTCTATAGTCTAGTCTATAGTCTAGTCTATAGTCTAGTCTATTAGTCTAGTCTATAGTCTCGTCTATAGCTTCTAGTCTATTAAGTCTAGTCTATAGTCTAGTCTATAGTCTAGTCTATCGGTCTAGTCTATAGTCTCGTCTATAGTTCTAGTCTCTAGTTCTAGTAGTCTAGTCTATAGTCTAGTCTATAGTCTCGTCTATAGTCTTAGTTCTATAGTCTAGTCTATAGGTCTTAGTCTATAGTCTAGTCTATAGTCTAGTCTATAGGTTCTAGTCTAGTCTGTCTAGTTAGTCTATAGGTCTTAGGTCTCATAGTCTAGTCTATAGGTCTAGTCTATAGTCTAGTCTCTAGTTCTGTCTATAGTCTAGTCTATTAGTCTAGTCTATAGTCTAGTCCTATAGTCTAGTCTATAGTCTAGTCTATAGTCTAGTCTATAGTCTAGTCTATAGTCTAGTCTATAGTCTAGTCTATAGTCTAGTCTATAGTCTAGTCTATAGTCTAGTCTATAGTCTAGTCTATAGTCTAGTCTATAGTCTAGTCTATAGTCTAGTCTATAGTCTAGTCTATAGTCTAGTCTAGTCTATAGTCTAGTCTATAGTCTAGTCTTTAGTCTAGTCTATAGTGTAGTCTTTAGTCTAGTCTATAGTCTATAGTCTAGTCTATAGTCTAGTCTATAGTGTAGTCTATAGTGTAGTCTATAGTCTAGTCTATAGTCTAGTCTATAGTCTAGTCTATAGTCTAGTCTATAGTCTAGTCTATAGTCTAGTCTATAGTCTAGTCTATAGTCTAGTCTATAGTCTAGTCTATAGTCTAGTCTATAGTCTAGTCTATAGTCTAGTCTATAGTCTAGTCTATAGTCTAGTCTATAGTCTAGTCTATAGTCTAGTCTATAGTCTAGTCTAGTCTAGTCTAGTCTATAGTCTAGTCTATAGTCTAGTCTATAGTCTAGGTCTATAGTCTAGTCTATAGTCTAGTCTATAGTCTAGTCTATAGTGTAGTCTATAGTCTAGTCTATAGTCTAGTCTATAGTCTAGTCTATAGTCTAGTCTATAGTCTAGTCTATAGTCTAGTCTATAGTCTAGTCTATAGTCTAGTCTATAGTCTAGTCTATAGTCTAGTCTATAGTCTAGTCTATAGTCTAGTCTATAGTCTAGTCTATAGTCTAGTCTATAGTCTAGTCTATAGTCTAGTCTATAGTCTAGTCTATAGTCTAGTCTATAGTCTAGTCTATAGTCTAGTCTATGTCTAGTCTATAGTCTAGTCTATAGTCTAGTCTATAGTCTAGTCTATAGTCTAGTCTATAGTCTAGTCTATAGTCTAGTCTATAGTCTAGTCTATAGTCTAGTCTATAGTCTAGTCTCTAGTCTAGTCTATAGTCTAGTCTATAGTCTAGTCTATAGTCTAGTCTATAGTCTAGTCTATAGTCTAGTCTATAGTCTAGTCTATAGTCTAGTCTAGTCTAGTCTATAGTCTAGTCTATAGTCTAGTCTATAGTCTAGTCTATAGTCTAGTCTATAGTCTAGTCTATAGTCTAGTCTATAGTCTAGTCTATAGTCTAGTCTATAGTCTAGTCTATAGTCTAGTCTATAGTCTAGTCTATAGTCTAGTCTATAGTCTAGTCTATAGTCTAGTCTATAGTCTAGTCTATAGTCTAGTCTATAGTCTAGTCTATAGTCTAGTCTATAGTCTAGTCTATAGTCTAGTCTATAGTCTAGTCTATAGTCTAGTCTATAGTCTAGTCTATAGTCTAGTCTATAGTCTAGTCTATAGTCTAGTCTATAGTCAGGACTTGATTATAATTTTGTCTATTGATTTAACTATAGTCTTGTCTATAGTCTAATCTATAGTGTTGACTATAGTATTGTCTTGACTATAGTCGTTATAGTATTGATTAGACTATAGACAGGACTATGGACTGTATAGACTTGCCTATAGTATTAACTATAGTCTTGTCTATAGTCTTGACTATAGTCGTGTATATAGTCTTGACTCTAGTGTTATCTTAGTCTTGTCTGTAGTCTTGTATTCACAATATTCTTGAAGGAAGACAATTCATATGGGAAGAATTTGCTTTTTGAGACTTACTAACTTGTGAAAATCTTGCATAAATGAAATTGCAAGTGCACAAAAACAAATACATAGTGATATCTTGTAGATAATGTAAACATAACAAAACCGTGATTTCCGCTATTACATTTCCCCATTTGAGAATTTAAAATATTTTGCATTTAATTGATTTTAAAATTATTTCGAATTTTAAAAAAATAAATCAACAAGATTTTGATTACTTAAAATGTAATTTAACATTTAATAAATGGAAACCCCAATTGAATAAATAATATTCAATAAATTGTACTACAACTTGATCAACTTGTTTCTATAATTTTTTGTTCTAAACATTTGCTAAAATTTCTATATATTATAGCAAAAAAAGTCATGATTCACATATCAATTAAACTGGTTTTTTCAAGCAAGCATGACTTTGAAAAAAAGTATTTAATACTTAAATCCCAAGAGAAAACGTGTGCTCGGGCAGAGCAAAAACCTTTTTTGAATGGTAAAGGTTTTTTTCTTTAAGTACCCGCTTAATCGGTTGTACGTTCACATTATCAAACACATGCTTTTTTTTTCTTTCTTTTCATCTAAGCATGCGAATTATTTGTAGTTTTATTTTAAGTTTTCTTATCTGTTTAAGTTCTATTAAATACTACTTGTATATTAAACAAATTAATAATTTGACAGCTGAAGGTAAAACAAAAAAAATTTTTGACTTTATTGCAAAAATATTATTTAAACTCTATAACACTCTCTTTCTATGTAGTTTTTACTCTCTATGGGGTAATATATCAGTTTAAAAGAAGAGTTAGCAGAAACTACGTAGTTTAAATTCAAATCTCTTTAGAATTACAATACTTTAACGACACAATTTACTCACTACTCTTCTACATACTCTACTAGTCGTGCAAATTAATATTGTGTGAATTTGTTAAAACAAAATAAATGTGATAGATGAAATCATCATGTTGTTGTTTTTATTTTATTTTTTTATTTAAATTTAACAAATACAAAATTTGATTATTGCTCGTTTACAAGTGGCTATAGAGACCTGGTAGTGTTTTGTTGGAATTGAAAGATTGCAGCCGTCTTTTTTTTAAAGAAATTTTGTTGAAACAATTTCAGTTTACAGTATTTAATACAAAATAAATAAGCCATGGGAGCCGTATTTTCACGTTTATATTGTCCGCGTCCAAAAGGATTAGGTATTAATTGTTATCTATTTTTATCAACTTGTTTATAATGATAAATTGTGTTATAGTATTTTAAAGCGGCTACAATTTACTTATATTTTTGCAAATGTTTACTTGTTCTATTGTGTTTCGAATATAATTTAAATTGTTTTAAATTATGACCAATATTTATGGAATATAATTAGAATAAAATGTATGACTAAATGATTTTAAAATGTTTAAATCATTTAATGCAAAATAATATATAATAGA